TTTTAATAAGTACTCAGTTAGTCGATTGTACCACATACGCCCTGATTGTTTTAAACCATATAGAGATCTGTTTAGTTTAATAGAATATTGTTCTCGAGAACCTCTATTGCATGCTTCGGGCAGCTTAAAACCTTCCGGAGGTTTCAAGCACTTAGGGAAAGATATATATATATATATATATATATATATATATATATATATATATATATATATATATATATATATATATATATATATATATATATATATATATATATATATATATATATATATATCGTTGGAAAGATCTTACCGAGTTCTAAAACTTGTCTTCGTGCGCTGGATTCAAAATATCAAGAGATGATTGCCTAATTACTAAAATACACTGTATTTACGCAAATGTTTCTGATTTCACACCGAACTCATGTGGAATTTGATGCGATCATATCTTGCTCTATTTAATCATAGAGATAAGGCTAAAAGTATATACCAGTATCAAGCGAGCCATATAAATAGACCGTCACTACATCCATGAGGCGTAAATCTAGTCCTTCACGTATTGCCAGACTAATTAAATATCTAAAAGTAGTAGCATCCACCCAGGAGAATATGTCTGATCATAATCAATGTGGGGTCTCTGTGAAAATCCTTGTGCAACTAGACAGGCTTTATATCTGATAATTTCACCCTTTTCATTTCTTTTACGCAAAAAGACCCGTTTATAACCCACTGGCTTAACATCTTCTGGTGTTTTAACCACGGGTCCAAAAACTTCTCGCTTTTCTAGCGATTGTAATTCAGCCTCAATTGCACCTTTCCATTTTGGCCAATCATCTCTGCGTCTACATTCTTGCATTGTTCTTGGTTCATGATCCTCATTTTCATTCATTATATCTAGCGCTATATGATATGCAAAAATATCGTTTTCTTCATATATCATCATCGACGTCGATTTCATGTCGGTTCCAAACAATTCCAGACATGACATATTTTATTGAGATCTCTTCATTTTCAGGTACCTAATCCTTTTCTGGATTTATAGTCGTGTCAATGTTCTCTTCAGGAGAATCTACTGTTAAGTTTATTTTATGCTCTTCATGGCCATTTTCATTCTTTGCTCCCTTTCTTTTCCGATGATTTTTGTCTTTAAAACCGATTGGTCTTCCACGCTTCACGCGTGTTTTTGATTCATTTGCAACGACATGTCCTGTTGGCACATTTAGTCTAATGGGAGCATTGGTAGCTGGTACTAGTGACTTTGTCACTCCTTTAGTATCAGTAAAAGCGTCTGTCAATTGATTCGCTAAACCTTGTAAGTGTATTATCTTTTGGACTTCAATTTCACATTCTTTAGTACGAGGATCAAGATGTAATAAAGATGGTACAGTCCAACATAATTCTTTCTCCAGCTGCTTTCTTTCTCCCCCTAATGTTGGGAAATTTGATTCATTAAAATGACAATCAGCAAATCTAGCCGTAAATAAATCCCCCGTTGATGGCTCTAAATATCTTATTATGGAAAGAGATTCATAGTCATTCCCAACTTTCTTTGGGGTGCCATCTTAGTACGTTGTGGTGGAGCAATAGGTACATATACGGCACATCCAAATGTTCTTAGATGGGAAATATTTGGTTCATTACCCAAAACTAATTGTAGGGGAGATGATTCACAATAACTTGTTGGCGTGATGCGAATTAGTGTTGCTGCATGTAAGGATGTTTTTACTTGAACTGTAATTTGCTGGTCTGGTCTGGTCTATTTTGGTCTGGTCTGGCCTGGTCTGAATTTTTATTTTTTATATTTTTGCATAAAGATTTTATTTTATATATATATTATAATCCATAAATAATTATATTTTATTCATTTATAATTACAAATAATAATAACAATAACAATAATAATTATTATAATAATAATAACAATAATAATAATAACAATAAAAATAATTAGGGGTGTGCACTATCCGATTTAAACCACAAAACCGGACCGGACCGAAAAAACTGGAACCGGATCGAACCGGAATGATATCTGGTCCGGTTCGATACGGTCTGGTCCAGATTTGAACTGGTGCACACCCCTAATAATAATAATAATAATAATAATAATAATAATAATAATTAGGGGTGTGCACTAGCCGGTTTAAACCGGAAAACCCGGACCGAACCGGACCGGAAAAACCGGAACCAGATCAAACCAGAATGATATTCGGTCCGGTTCGGTCCGGTCCGGTCCGGTTTTAAACTGGTGCACACCCCTAATAATAATAATAATAATAATAATAATAATAATAATAATAATAATAATAATAATAATAATAATAATAATAATAATAATAATAATAATAATAATAATAATAACAATAACAATAACAATAACAATAATAATAATAACAACAACAACAACAACAATAATAATAATAATAATAATAATAATAATAATAATTAGGGGTGTGCACTATCCGGTTTAAACCGGAAAACCGGACCAAGCCGGACCGAAAAAACTGGAACCGGATCAAACCGGAATGATATTCGGTCCGGTCCGGTTTTGAACCGGTGCACACCCCTAATAATAATAATAATAATAATAATAATAATAATAATAATAATAATAATAATAATAATAATAATAATAATAATAATAATAATAATAATAATAATAATAATAATAATAATAATAATAATAATAATAATAATAATAATAATAATAATATGGTCTGGTCTGGTCTGGGACGAATTACAATCCAAGTAAAAATAACCTAAAATTGCATGCCCCCAAGCTGAAATAGGGAGTTTACATCTCATAACTCATAAGTAATGGTCTTCCAATAAGCTGGAGTCGTTTAATTAGTTACTCGGCGAGACCATTCTAGGTATGAACATGTGCTACAGGATGTTCTACTCTTATCCCGATGGACATACAATAATCATTAAAAGCTTGGTAGGTGAACTCACCGGAATTATCAAGGTGAATAGTTTTAATTGGATAATCAGGAAAATGTGCTCGTAATCTAATTAATTGAGCTAGTAATCTCACAAACGCCAGGTTGCGAGTCGATAGTAAGCATACACGAGACCATCTAGTCAATGCATCGATCAAAATCATGAAATACCTAAACGGTCCACATGATGGGTCAATTGGTCCACATATATCACCTTGAATACGTTCTTAAAAGGAAAGTGATTATGTTCTAATTTTAGGCGGTGAGGATCTAGTAATTAATTTTCCTTGAGAGCAAGCAACACAAGATAACTCATTGGTTTGAAGAATCTTCTGATTCTGGAGTGGATGTCCACATGAGTTATTAATAATTCTTCGCATCATTGTTGATCCTGGGTGGCCTAACCGGTCATGCCAAATAATAAACTTATCATGATCCATAAACTTCTGGTTTATGGTCATATATGATTCAATTGTACCAATTTTGGTGTAGTACAATCCAGATGAAAATGCGGGTAATTTTTCCAACACGCTTTTAATACCCGAAGTTTTATCGGTTATGTAGAGATATTCAGTATCTCCTTCTTTGGTTGTTTCAATATGATATCCATTTCGGCGGATATCCTTAAAACTTAGTAAATTCCGTTTAGATTTGGGGGAATATAATGCATCGTCAATTCGGAATTTTGTACCTCCGGACAACACCAGATTGGCTCTTCCGGAGCCATCTATTAATTTATTAACACCAATGATGGTGTTAACATTTGCCTTTTGCATTTTCAACTCAGAAAAATAGTGAATATTTCTAAGTATTGTATGCGTAGTAGCACTATCAGCAAGGCACAACTCTTCACCATTCATAGTAATTTGGACAACATGTGTGTCCATTTTCACTATAAATTAAGATTATCTGGATGAATAGCTTCTGGAAATCGATCAATATCTCCTGAAAATCGAACTACGGCTGTGTGCGCAGCAAGGGCTTGCACGTGTGGTGGTCCGAAAATTGACGGCAAGCAGAGCAACAAACAGTTGATGAAGATGTCGACAACAGCCTGATGAATCCCTCTGTGTGAATCACTCGTCTGGGATGATATATGTGTCGATCGATGAGGCTGGATGCAGATGCGGCGAGTGAAGAAGAAGTGTGCCCTGAATTGATTCAATGTGCCCTGGGAATTGATCGACGGAAATCGATCGAGAATGAGGATGCTGTTTTGCGATCCTATTTTTGTGGGAGCGGGCGAGCGTTTAGAATGAGGAGGAGCGGATAGTTAGTAAGAGCGTGCTGATAACGTATTAGAATATCAATTGTATGTATCTACAAGTAGGGGGAATGGGGATATATATAGGAATACATGCGGGCCTACTTAGGGGCTTGGGCTAGGAGGGAGTAGTGTATGTTTATACATTACATAACAAGTATTTTTTAATTTTTAAAATAATTTCAAAGCTTTATACGGAGTAAAAAATAACGGAATTGTTTACTCAACTTATCTTGCTTATCAGCCAACTTTTTCACCAAACACGTAACTTTTGCTTTCACGCGCTGATTTGTGTAATAAGCAGAAAAAGTAGGGTTGGAGTTACTTTTCCGACTGTATTGGCTGAAGTTACTGTAGATGACCATTTTAGCTATTTTTACATATAATTTTTTCTTTATTTTATCAAGAAAATATATTTTAAAAATACTTTTTTCTTATATCAGCAGAATCAGCCAATGCAGCCACTTCAGCCAGAACTTCATAAATTTCAGCAGAATCAATCAAATCAGCCGATTTTCGTGCTACCAAACGGACTCTATATATAGGCCTCAAACCCTCAACAAATAATGCAAATTACAACATCTCTAACCTTTTAATGATGGCAACTAGTTAAAATTCATGCATTTATTTATACCGCATGATGTCATACTTATTTCGCATTATACTCAGATGACATTTTTTTGTTAGCATGCTTTTAATTCAATTGAAATTTTCTGATCTCATCTCGTCTAGTTTAGTTTTGTAGGTGTCTGGTGTCTATGCATGTATTTTATATTTTATAATCGCAGAAGACTGGTCTGATTTGTGAAAGTCTGATATGGTTTAAGACTCAAATAAGTCCATATAAAAAACATCTATTAAATGGTGTTTTTTCAAGTCATCTCTTTTAAGAGTATTTTTGTCGTGACACCAAACTAAGAAATTTTTCTTGAATGTATCAAATGAACAATCCCATATACAAATCAATAATATCATCAATCTACCATTGCATGCTCCATGCACCTTTGCACACAATTCTAAGATTTTTCAACCAGATATACGAAGTATTTGGCATTATATTCATGAAAACCATAGTGCTCATTGAATTTGATTGCAATGCAGACTATATGTATCCTTATTGTGCAGGGCTCATTGTCAACGAGGAAGTGTCTTTTTATTAGTACTTCCACGTATTTCCTTTTCTTCACCAATTTCTCTCCCCTTTGTTGACACTGATCCTGAAACATCCAATCTTGTGCAGTTGTATTGCAGCTCTTCATCATCATGAACTACAGTTCTTCTTCTTCGTCTCTGGTTCTCATCTGTTGCCTTTTGTGGCCGCTGATCATCTGAATCCAACTTCAGTTTATTTCCAAGTCCATTAAAATCTCCTTTGGGTGTTGAAAGTTGAATGGGCGTGGTGGTTCTAGCGGCACCCCTTTCCTGCTCAAAGTAGAGTACTTGCACTACGGTTCTCAATGGCAGCCGCTCATTCCTCACCGCGTGCGCACATACTTCTGGTGATAGTTTACGGCAGTCCAGAATACGGCAGAGCAGCTTCCTGTCGGCTTTGCTTAGATTGGGGTGTACCTGCGAGATGAAATCTCTACTCTTTACTTGTGAAAATAATATACTCCCTTCCCACCTTACCTTAAAACTTTGTCAGCTTTCCTTTTTTGGACTTCCCACTAACTTTGACACTTTTCCTTTTAAGGAAAGAATTTGTGTTCCAGTTAATTCTCTCTCCTCTCTGCACAACTCTCAACCACACAGTTTTCACTTTATTAATCCATGTGTCGTTCAAACTTGACAAAGTTTTAAGGGACAAAGGGAGTACTACGGAGTATGTTTGATGGAAGTCTTAAGATGAAAAGCATGTGTGGAAAGTCATTTGGCAACTACACATAATATTTAGTTTCAACTAAAAAAATCAATCCCTCAAGATTAAGATTTGAGTGAAATTACTACGAATGATTGTTAGATTCTTTTGGGAGATGCTATTTCATCTTAAGATCCTTTTTGGTTCAAAAATGATGTTTGTACACACTCTTATACACACTTTTGTACACACCTATGTCTGTGAAAGCTTTTTTTTTGTCTGTGAACATCGATTCATAGACAATGTTTTGCACAAACAAAATATTGTCTATGAACCGGATTTACAAACAAAAAAAATTCACAGACATGGTGTGTATAAGGTGTGTACAAGGGTGTGTAAATCAAGCATGGTTGTTTTTGGTTTGGGGGGTTTGAGGGAGGGGAAGGGGAAGGGAGGAAGTGAATGATTTGTATATGATTGGTTTAAAGAAGTAGGGGGATGGAGGAGTAAATTTGTCCAAATTGCAAAATTAAACAAAAATTACTAAACATTTTATTTTATTTTATTAAACATGTCTTTCATCTTTATTTTATCCGTTATATCTTTTTTTTTCTTTTTCCCTTTTTGTATGTCTTCTCTGTTTGGGATCGATCATAGATTGATTCAGATTAGCCGACCTCAAATTTTTTTGAGATTAAGACTTGGATGTTGTTGTTGTAGCAGTTAAACATGTCTTTCATGGTGTTCTAAACATGATTAATTATGAGATAAAGAGATTGACTTATTTTTAACATCGCAAAAAGCTAATATATAATGCACATAAATGATACTATATCTGCATATTTGGCATATATAAGTCCTTATATTTTACCTTTTGTACTACTTTAAAGTTTTCAAAAGTTTCTAGTTGTATGTTTGGTGTGCTAACTTTTAAGATCTTTTTTAAAAATAAAAGATCTTTTTTGTGGATGCTATAGTGAGTAGCATCTGAGAAAAGTCTATAACTTTTAGAAATAATTGGTCTGAATATCTTTTATGTCAAACAGAACTAAATCAAACAGTCACATTTTATCAAACCGCTACCACCATTTTCTTTTGATGTCCTTTTCGTTACTAAAAGTATTTAACTAGTTGTCCCAACATGCCCTATATATCACAATGCATACGTAGTACGAAGTATATTAGAAGGTATTTGAAGCATTAAACCAAGTAAAATAATACTCTCCTGTCGCATTTTAGGATGTTTTTACTTGGACCGTAATTCCTCCCAGATCAGACCAGACCAGATCAGATCAGACTTGGATAGTTATAAAAATACCAAGAAACCAGACCAGACCAGCAAATTACAGTCCAAATAAAAACATCCTTAGTTACCTAAATTTTACTTTTCAAGTCAATATGTCTAAATTTGATATATTTATATATTTATATACAGAAGTATTGATAATATGAAAATGATATGAAATATTTTTTATTAAAAGTATGTGATTATTAGATTTTGCATAAAGATAATAATTGAAATAATTGGTGCAAAATGACTAAATAAAATGGACATAAATGCCATACCTTAAGATAAATGTTGACTGCCTGGTAAAGTTCATCATGAAGTGGTCGGGCAACATCTGGAACAGCAGAAGCCAGAGACACCAATTTCTCAACTGCCATTTTAGGATCATCCCTAGCAACAACTTGAACATAACAGTCCATCAGCTTTCCCACCTTCCTCATCGCCGATTCCTTCTCTTCACCCGCCGCCTGCCTTTTCCATTGCCTCAGGAAACTCTCTAAAACAACCCCGACCAATTCAACATCAAAGCCGCTTCCAGTTTCATCACCAGCCTGAGATGGCGGCAGCAACAAGTCATTCACCCTTGCCTCATGCAACCTCTCCCCCGATCGCCTTATCAGCTCTGCTTTCGCCACCATAGATGCTCCTAAGTAATTTGCCGCGCTAAGCAGCTTCAGTAAGAATCTAAGTGAAACAGAGTCTCCATCGCTAGGGATCATACTCACAATTGTCTCCAGAATATTCCGCTTCCTGTCGATCCCTCCGATTGAGGGCAATTTCGACTTTCTGGTGTTTGGTAGCCACCGGCCGGCGTAGACGTGTAAGGCCTCGCCGATGAGCTGAGGCGGCAGAGATCCGCTTGATCTAACGGTTGTGACTATACACCGGAAGAGATCTATCCCAAGCACGGCCAAATCCTCCGTCCACCAATCTCTCGGCGCCGATTTTACTTGCTTTTTGTCGAATCCATGGCGACTGCAAGTGTATGACCACCTGACCTTAGCCGGAGGGGTTAAGATTTTCTCAACGATCGAGTCGATACACTTCCGGGTCACGCCGACATTTTCGGCCCAATCGGCTAACTTCTCCGTCGTCTGGAGCGCCAGAATCGAGTCCTTCCAGCCTCCCAGTACGCACGAAGCTAAAAACGCCTCGAGTTTGACCGCCAAATTCCCCTTCTCGAATGCCTCCGTCATTCGAAGGAACTTCGCGGCACAGAAAACGGGGACGAAGTTATGTGCGCTGACATTAATGGTCATCCCGTAACAGAATTTCGCGCATATCTCCAACGCCTCTTCTCCCCCTGGAGTATCATGCAGTTCGAGGGTAACATTGTCCGAATCTTCTGTATTTGATATGAGTCTTTGTAGGAGTCCACACTTTTGCAGAAGTGGATACTACAATGAGAGAAAATTGTTAGAATCCACCAATCCAACTTCAAAATTAAAGCAGGAGGCAAAATGGTTTGATTTAACCGAATTGAATCGAAAGAAATTGGTAATTTGATTTGGTTTGGATTTGAATGAGTCAAATATTAAAAAATTGAAAATGTGTCTTTGAGATAATGACAAATATATGACAAAAAATTAGGGTTATGAATTCCAATTGGAGGATTAAAGAAAGATTAGTCATGTATCAAATCCAACTAAATTGTCATTTTAATAGATGGATCAAAGAACACATATATACCTTGTGAAGATGATAGGTTATGTTGTTGATTTTGATAGTAAGATCACTTGGCATATCTGAACTTATCACCCTGTGTTATTTGGGGAACCATAATTAAGTTTAGAATCAAGAAAACATTGCCAAATTATATGAAACTCTTAATTATGTATCATAGATCACTTCATATGAAACTCTTAATTACGGACATACCTTGTACCATCTTCGGTGTAAAAGGTATCTGGTCTTGCTCCTATCTTCATAAACTTCATCTTCGCCGATATGATTGAAATGGATGTTTATTTCTTATGTCATAAACTATTTGAAACTGTCCAACTTATACATCACCTCTCAGTTCTTTATGTCGTATACCTGCAAACTATTCAAGGTTTGATACATGGGAATGGATAAAAGATGATTTCTACTTTTGGAGTTTAGATAATACGTAGTATATACTTCGTATAATGAGTGGGAAATAAGGAACGGGAATTGAAGCCAATATATCCGAGGGAAAGGGGTGATTTATGGGGTACAAACTTTGGAAATGACTAGCATGGCTAAAACTTTGGAGTTTGGAAAATGGCTAGCATGGCTAAAATCTAGCATAGCTAAAATGGTTAGATTTTATTGTACCCTTGAATTACCATACATTTGTTCATATGAATCAATCATAATTTAAGAATTGAATTATTTAAATTTAAATTAAAAATGCTATAATAATTTCAACGAATCAAGTGAATGATGAGTATGATATCTCATTTTTTAAATAGATAACGGAGTTGTGACGAATCAGAAATTGAAAAATGAACAATATGGCTAAAAGAAAGATCGTGAATTACGCGGCAGTACATTTTTATGTGCATTGATTTTAGTACCATTAATGATGACACTAGAATTGTAGTAATCATAGTCACATCTTTGTCTAGTAAATTTTTATGCGCATTGGTCGATAAAGCCTCATTTGATCGTTTGCACATTAAAATTTCATACATTGGTTTAAACGCATGGAAAGTCCTTGAAGTGGTTTATAAAAAGCATGTGAAATATTTTGCTACCCTCCACTCACAATCATCCAACATCACCAATCGAGAGATTTATCTGCGAACTCGCTTTAATGTCATTGTAGGATATATTCGACCCTTTCTACAATCATTGGGATTTCCTGTCCCCCGACTCGCCTAACTATAGAGTTCTAAAGTTAAATCCACAAAGTATGAAATTAGAATTACTATAATTAATCTTCAGTTATATTTTCGGAGATATATGTATCCTTTAAGACCTAGCTCAACAAATAGACATTAAGGCTCTACACGTTTTCTAATAGTCCAATAAATCATTTAGGGATATAAAATTGAGGGACATTTTTATTTTGTGGGATATAATTCAGGGGCATATATGTTTATTCTCCTATAAATTTAACGAATGGAAGAATTAAGAGCTTGTTTGTAAACATTAAATTACAAGCTAAGCATCTGGCCAGGTCTACTAAATGTACTTGCTATCTGAAAGTAAAAACGTTTGGTAAATTATATTTTAGCCAAATTAACAAAGAACTACTCCACTTATTTTACCTATTTTGAAGATTCAATTGGTAAATGATACTACATATGTAAGGTGGACTTTGAAGGTGGAGCCGTGGAGGCTATGTTATCTTATTTGATCAAGCATTTAACTGATTCCGAGTGGCAAACATAATAATCATCAAATGTAAAAATGTTGATCAGTGGGGCTAGTTATAGCTCTCTCGATCACAGTCAAGAAATGAACATAGCTTTCTATCGGTAATGGTATACCCATAGAAAAAAACATCAATTTCAATCAGCTTTTTTTAGTATAGATTATATGGTACTCATAAGGTATCATATCTTTGTTCACATGGACCAATGAGAATGTAACGGTTGAATTATTTAAATTTAAATTAAAAATGATAAAGTGATGTGGTCCAATGAAATGAATAACAGGTACGGTACCACATTTTTTAGAAAGATAGCGGAGTTGTCACCTTTTTTTGTATATCCATAGAAATAAACATCAATTTCAATCATCTTTCTATTTAACTGCCCTATGGCCCCTATTTGAAACTATCTTTGTATGACTAAAAAAAGTGCCCCTAGACTCAAATTTTATACTCCCTCCCTCTCATTGGACTTTGTCAACTATCCATTTTTGTTGTCCAAAAAAACTTTGTCACTTTTCTATTAAAGCAACTAATATGTGGTTCTGCACATTTCTCTCTCCTCTGCACAAATATTAACCACAAAATTTTTACTATTCTTATTTCTCATCTACTTTACACTTGACAAAGTCTACCGGGACTGAGGTAGTTTTTTTAAGTTCATAACATTACTCTCTTGTGATTAGAAAAAAGTTCTTTTTAAGTTTATTAACTATGATCAAATATCTTGCAAAACCACTATGATTAAATATGTTTGATAACACTGAGATTAATTGAAACGTATGAAATTCTTACTAGAGAAGTTGAATCTGATGAATTTTGAAAAATATATATTTAAAATATACTCCTACTTTATTATTAAAATTTAGAAAAAGATATATGAAAAAGCTAAGTTGACTTCTAGAGTAACTTCTGTCAATTCAGTCATAAAATTAATTTCGATCTTAATTATTTTGATTATTACATAAATAAAATGTGCAAAATAAAAAATTACTTCATACTCCCTCCCGTCCTAAATAAACTCCACACTTTCCTTTTGGGTAGGTCCAAAATAAACTTCACACTTCTTCTCCCTTCCTTATTTGGCAAATTATCTACAACAAAACAGTGCAAAACAGTGTCAAACCGTGTCACAACAATGTACTCTACAGTAAAGTCAAATTTATTTCCTTAATTTGTGTGAAGTCAAAGTGTGAAATTTATTTAGGACCGGAGGGAGTAATTATTAGTAAAACGTTGCCGATAACATTCATAAAAAGATGGATTACCAAATTAAAGAGCCTCATCGAGTTGGGGAAAGGGGGTAATTATAACCTATAGAGTAGTTTTATGGTAGATTTTATGGTACCTTAAGGTATCGTCCCTTTGTTCGATCAATTTGAATGATGTAGTTGAATTATTTAAATGTAAATTAAAAACAAAAATGATATAATGAGTGATAGGTACTATACTATAACTCCAAAATAAAAATGCACACTGAGTCGGCTTTTTTTGGGGTGTCATGCACTTTTAGCGGCTGATATGAAACGCCACGATAGAGCAGGGTGCCTTAGTGCCTTACACTACAAAGAATAAAGATGTCTTTGGAGAACTCATAATCTGGGTACTTTTTCTGTGGGAGTATCTTACTCCCAATAGCCGACCCAGGTAAAGAAAGGAATTGATAAAAAAACACTACTGCAAACTTCTTTATGAAATGCAAAAGTCCACACTAAAAAAGCTCACTTTTTGTTACCTTCTCCCAAAACATTACTGTTTATTGCCTAGCTACCAACTTTAAAAATTATACACCTCAAGATTAAATTTGGTATCGGTTTGAATTCTTCTGTGGGAATACAATAACACATTAATCAAATGCATGACATATACGTAGTATAATTATTAGACGACAAATCTTCAATCCTGCTAAATTACTACTCCCTCCGTCCCATATTTATCTTCATAGTTACTATTCACATGGTTAACTCAAATTACTCTTAATCCTTTACTTTATATATCAAACTTTTATCAAACCTAAATTTTCTTGATCAGACTTTGTAGCGGATTTAATGTAGTTTCTGAATATGTAAATTTAATTTACTAAAAATAATCTGAATGTGAACAAGGATCAAGTTGTTTTATCGTCAGTCAAGCATCGTAAACCGAACTACGAAGATAAATATGGGACAGAGGGAGTAATCAAGAACGTGAAAGAAATGTGGCAAGCTAAGGTTGTTCCCTAAAGAATGGATCGAAATAGAGAAAATGGGGGAACAAGAAGAAACAGGTAATGACATTGAACTGACTTCATTAACCAAAGAAATCATTTTTATTCATTGTATTACACCTGACTTTTTTCAAGCAAGATAAACAAACCTTATTCGGCTATAATTCAATGTAGAAAGTGATTTTTCCCCTGTTGCAATTGGAGATCGAGCCTCATCATCAGCACTCTTCTTGCTTTGCACCCATCAAATTTCTAACTTCAAATTCCAAGAATAATTGTCTAGTTCTTAATAGGTAGTATAAATCTTTATTACTTCACAATTTTGCAGGGTAAGACTTCAACATTCTACTCACGATTAAACACTTCGTCTCGATCGTATTGTCATTCATTTTTTCATCAAGTCATCATTGACCTTTTTTTATACAAAATAGTCATTTTGCATAGGGGTCCACACCATTTTATAGATCAATTTGTATATCATGTTAAGACTTGGAGTTCCAAGGTAAACCCGATAGACAGAGAAGTTCATATCTTAATATAGAACTTTATCATGTGAGACTTTAACATTAGTCGTGTACAATAAAGTTATACACCATTACACCCTTTAGCTTGTATAGTTGCATCTGTTTCATCTTTTATAGACCAGGTTTTCATATACTACGGGTATATATTTTCATGGGAAAATTTGACCTTCCACCACTTTTTTGGCTCATATTTAACCTTCCATCCTATTTTCAAAATCACTAATGTGCATCATCCCATTTCATTATAAAATTATTTGACTTTGCACTTCACACCTTCACAATTTTGGGGTGGATGAAGTGCACATGTACATTAATGATTTTGCAAATGAGGTGCAAACTCCAATATCGCTCAAAACATGATGTGCAAAGTCAAATTTTCACTATTTTCATTTGCACGATGTATACCATTTTAAAAAATGGGACACCGTACCTACCACTCACTTGATTGGTCCAAATTATTATATCATTTTGAATTTAGATTTAAATAATTCAACTCCGACATTCTGATTGATCTATGTAGACAAAGATACCTTAAAGGTACCATACTATCTTCCTTCATAGATTGGAGGAAGCTGAAATTTACTAGGAATTGAATTCTTCGCCCATGTCAAGGTAACAAAGTTTCTGTGGTACTGGTAAAGATAAGAAGAAACATAGCAAAATAATTAAAGAAAAAACCCTTCAATAATAAGTATTGAAAAATATATCAAGAGTATTATCTATCCCATAAAATAGTCAGTAATATATTCATAAATTCAAATTAAAGTATAGATACATACGTATACACTACGGAGTAGTTTTTTAGATGTTTGGTTATGTCCCATTAGACAAGAGTGAAGAGTGTGAATAGCATATATGTACACTATGTGAACAGCATTCGGACATAAAAAGGTAAAAAACTAGGGAAAAAGTGAAAATAAGTTCTTGAACTAATCGAAAAAGTGTAAATCACCCCTTTTATAGGAGGAGACTCTGTCTGGTCATCACCGTATGGGGCGGTTCCCGGTGGAATTTTTCGATGATTTTTTTAACATCTTTTGCAAAAAGTCGAGTTTACTCATACCATATTTCAGCTTAAAATTCAAACGGGAAGACAGTCAAATGATTTTCTTAAATATACCGCGATGTTTAACTGCGTAGTTAACTTCAAACATTTATTTGACTGACTTCCCGATTGCATTTTTAGCTGAAATTTGGTATGGTAAAGTAGATTTAATGAAGAAAATGCTCAAAAAAATTAATCAAAACATTCCACCAGGAACCGCACCAAATAGCTACGACCGAACAGTGCCTCCTATAAAAGGGGTTATTTGCACTTTTTGGTTAGTTCGAGAGCTTATTTGCCCATTTTCCCTAAAAACTATTACTCCTTAAGTATATTTTGATAAATATTGTATAAAATGAGAATGAATTGAACCGAATAGTAAAATACTCTGTATGAATATCACGCTCCACATTAGCATATAAGTAGTACTCCGTATCATTTATCATGAAGTAAAAACAATGTAATATTCTAAATTAGGAATAATAAATTTTTTCTCAATATATGTGATTAGAATCATTCTTGGAAAATAATGTCAATTATGGTTTTAATGATTCTAAATTAATAATTGATGACGCTAAAATATGACATATATATGATTGAGAATAAGAGTACTTATTATACTACGTGGGAAATTCCCAAATAGATTGACAAATCAGATTAAACCTTTCAAATATGTTCTTCACTTGGGCCTGGATGCACAAGGAATCACTCCAGCCATATATAACCGTGCACTGAATATAAATCCTTGGAGAAAAGAAAACATACCAGTTTAGCTGATGAATAGTCCCTGAGATGTCGGTCGGCCTCGATTCCCACAATCCTAGCTATTTACCAAAAAATCATGAGAATAATCTTAGTTAGACTCTCTAGTAGGGTAATTAGACGTTTAATATAGATAGATATGTGCACGTAAGAGTGCAAGAGATCACTCAATAATATAGACGGGGCTGACATTATTTCTATTTTGTTTTTGTCTTTAATATGTGCAGTGGGAGTCGTCAGCTTCATATGAACCCCATAATCTTCTCAGTTTGACTCTTTTGGGTCAAATTTTATAAACTTTGATCATTAATTATTCAAAACTCAAATTATGTTGGGAAAATTGCAATTTTCGTCCAGTAACTTTTGGCCGTTTTCATTATTAGTCCCGTAACTTTAGCCACATGCAAATTTGGTCCTGTAACTAATAAATATTTGCGATTTAAGGACTTATCCCCCGAAAAGTACACTTTCCGGTGATAGTATGCCGGAAAAGGTGATGCCGGCGTCGGATTTTTTTGCCGGAAAGTGTACTTTCCGGTGGAACAGTCCTTAAATTGCAAAGATTTTTTAGTTACAGGACCAAATTTGCAAGTGATTACAGTTACAGGACTAATAACGATAACAGCCAAAAGTTACAGGACTAAAATTGTAAATCTCCCAATTATGTTATGATTAAAAATTTATTTCATATACCTCATTGTAAAACATATTATTTGAATGTTAATTTATTATGAATTTTATAAATATAGATATGTAAATATTTAGAGTCAAAGTTTACCTTAGAAGACCGTGAAAAGTCAAAATGGGAAGATTTTTGTGTTATATGTGATGCAACAAAGCTTAGCTTCTTGTCATACACACTAAAAAGACCTACTTTTTGGTTCTTTTTTAGTTGCGATGTTTTAGCAATATACAACTTCGACCTATAATGTAAAAAATCTAAAAAAGTTCAGATTTGAAAATTTTAAAATGAAATAAATCTAATATCTTTTACCAAAAATGGAGTTATCATATACTCCGTACATTAATAAATAAAATATAGTGACATTATTAATAATGGTAGTGCATGCATACTTCCTCCCGCACTCTTAGGGGCGGAGCCAGGACACTGGAAAGGGTTGAGCCGGTACACAAAATGTTTTTGATTTTTTTACACTGAAAATATACTCACTCCGGTCCCTATTAAAGTTTCCGGTTTGACTTCACACAGATTAAAAAAATAAATTTGACTTTACTGTGGGGTGCACTATTTGGCACTGTTTGGACACTGTTTGCCACTGTTTTGCACTGTTTTGTTTCCTACAATGGAAGTGTGAATTTAAATAAGGGACATCTCAAAAAGGAAAGTGAGAACTTTAATACGGACCGGAGGGAGTAGATATTTTTAAAATTTGGGTTGAACCAGGGCCAGGGTTGGCCCTCCCCTAACTACGCTCCTGCGCACTCTATTGGTTGCTACAATATGATTTAAGACAATATTGAATTTTTTTAGAACAAATAGAGATAGTGAATAGTACAGGAAAAGTATGATATAGAGTGAAAAATATGAAAGACTTTTTACATATCGAGAAAACTTACAAACATTAGAAAGTGTAGCAAAAATTAAAATAATATTCACAAAAAGAAAACTGATAACTTAATTATTAGCTTCTTTTCCGAGTAGTCTCTAACAATAAGATTAATTTGAGGTTCAATTAAAATATGCCAATCTGACATAATAAATAAATGGGATAAATGGGATAATCCAAGACTTTATTTGTGAGCTACTCCGTACAAATAATTGACATTATGGAATGACCGAACATGTTACTCATCCAGAAATATGTGGGCTCTTATTTAAGGAGTTAATATTTGAGAATAATTAATTGTAATATCGTATTAAGACTTAAAAATACATATCAAAATAATAAATTCGCTGAGAGAGATCAGAAGCTTGTATGCCTGGTGAAATGACATATGTGTATGTATTTTCAAATGTTTCGCTATTGGAGTTTGGTGTGCCTTTCTCTTTTTTCCATGCAAGGATTAAATTGCTAGGTACATGTGGTGTAGGTGGATGATTAAGAGTGTAGTTTTGTTCACCTCAAACAAGGAATCAAAAAACTAATTGAAAGTTATTGACTCTCATGAATGCTGCAATTCAAGAAAAAATCTGTATATGAAGATCTGATAATAGAATACATAAGATCTTGGATGCTAGCTATTCACCCTCTATTCACTCAGAAAGAAAAAAATGGGCACATGGTCTAGATGTGATGGGCGCAGGAGAAATGATCAACACGGGACCCATGTGAGATTAATATATATATTTTTTAAAGTGTTATAACTTTTTTATTTATACTCTAATTTGTATAAAAAATATATCAAAGTTCATATTTTTTATAATCTTTCATATGACACCAATATTGGATATGTAAAATTTTAAAAAAAAGTTTCATCTGCTAGAGATTTATAGATCTAACATTTTTCTCAAATCAATTCAAATGTTAAAATTAAGACTTCACTGTTAAAATATGTTTTTACATCTCTCAATTACTAATTTTCAAAAATAAATCTCATTGTTAAAAATTTCACTCCAAATTTATTTATTTTCACATCGGAATGTTTGATATTTTAAATCATAATTATTTTCAAAAATAGAACTTGCGAAAAAAGTTATGTATAATAATAAAAGTAAGGATTAACTAAAAAAGAATGTGTTGAGTGAATATATTGACGGTGCTGGGTTGCAGGGAAAAACTAGATTGACTGAGTGAATACGTATAAATTGGTGTTAGATTAGATTTATTGACGAGTTGGGTTGCGGTTAGCCTAAGGAGAGTGAATATCTCCCCTTTCATCTATGATTGTCGGCATTTCATCTCATCTATTTCTCAAAAATGTTATAATTTTTTGATTTATTGTCTAATATTTGTAAAAAATATATCAGATTTATTAATTTTTTATAATCTTTCCAATGATATTAATATTGTATATAAAAATTGATTTTTTTTTCTAAATATCTTTTTTAGATGTTTTTTCAATTTTTCATATGAAATATTAGTAACATATGAAAGATCGTAAAAAATGAAGATTTTTGATACATTTTTTTTTTAAATTGAATTAAAAATTAAAAAGATAAAATAATTGCTAAATTGTAATGTATTGCTTTGCGACATGCATGCAAATAGGGTGGGGGTGAACATCACCAGCTCAAAAGAGGGTGAATAAAATTGTTCTGGATGATTAATACTAACCCTACCAATTCAACAATGGGAAAAGAAACAAAACCTGATAATCATGAATGTGGGACTAGATGGAAATATCTCATCTTCTATTCAATCCCCATAATGACTACGAGTATATTATTCCCTTTATTTTCTGAGGCTATCTTTAAAAGATGTAATGTTTCGTTCAAACAATGAAATAGAAAGACTTTAAAACTCAATGTAATTATTGTTTCGATTTTTTATGTTTCATTTGTTTTTGTTGTAACACACTTCCATATATATTTAAAAGTTAGCTTTAAAATTATTAAACCGCAATTATTTAAAGGGGAATAATATTTAAGACATGCAAATGACTAAGCTAAGTGGGATTAAGGGACTCTATATATTGACCTTTATTTTGTCGTGATCTCGTTATAAAAGTGTTTTATTTGTGCTAAAAGAAGTAACCACTACTACTTTTGTTTCCTTCCCTCCTGAATCCTGATAACCCCAAAAGCCGGGGGGCTTTTAAAACATTTGTTGTTATTTTTACACTGGTATCCTGGTAATAATTTCCTCCTACTTTAACCAATTAGACAAATCATAAATATACTTCCATTATTTTACCCCTTACAAAGTACAGAGTCTTGGGCAAATAATTGGGAATCTAGATTAGAATTAGAATGGCGACAAATTCCTCCCAAAACTTCCTTAAACTCTTAGGAATGTTTGGGAGTTCGGAGGGATGAGAAGGGGAAGATTTTGGAGATATGTTGTTGGAGGGGAAATGTAGGAGATGGTGAGGAAGTTCTTCTTTGATTTGTATTTGGAAGCTCGTTTTGAGATATGATGAATTTAAACAATTGAACTGATATTTATTTTTAATTAAGCTTAAATTACCATTTCATTAATTATCCTTCAAAACCTTCCAAATTGGAGGAATTTAAAAATTGAGCATTTAGACAGTTTTGAAGGGTCATAAAAGCCCTTCAAAACCATCCTTCAAATTTTATAAACTCTAAAACATGAAAAAAGAAGGGTTATAAACCTCCATTAACCTTTTCCTCCCCTCCAAAACCTAACACTCAAACACATCCCTGAAAAGTGAAAGTCAAGTGGGTTGGAGATAGGGGTGTTTGATGTTTCGTGTCGGCCACGTGTCATGGCTTTGGCCGTCAGATGGTGAACAGACGGAACCTGTTTGATTGGTTGGTCGGGTTGACAAGGAAATATGTTGGAGATGAGATGTTGGTTGTTTTGGGGCCAAGCTTTGCTAATGTCACCATCCTAGATCCATAGTCCATCCTTAATTATGCTTTAATCGTCAAGCTCTTTTTTGTATTCAAAAGAAAAACCATCAAGAATTAGCCAATCAGGAGGATATATGTTCATACGTTTTACTTAGCAAATTTAGAAAAGTCACGTCAGGAAAATTACCAAATCAAATCTTAAAAATTCTAACTTCAAATATTCAGATCAAACGAACGTAAAAACTAAAGCATAAGAAATGACAAATCAATGAAAAATAATACAAAAATAAAAAAGGATATATAAGTTTTATTTAAATATAAAGAGTTTATAAGGTACTCATTCACCAGTACTTTTAAAATAACTTCAACATTGTTTAACTACATGAGTCTTATAGAAATAAAGAATGTATTTTTGAATTACAATTTTTGTCTACCATGAAGGGTGTTCATAAGTCACAAGCAGTTCTTTTAATATTACAATAATATGTATGATATTATTATTTTTAGAATAATATTATATTGCTAATTCATATATATAGTGCATTTTGTATTTGTATTAATGCTAAAATAATTAAAGTTTATTATCTATGCAATAAAGGCTTTTTAGAACGTAAGAAATAAATGAATAATGTAATTCAATGTCAATAAAGATTTATAATTTCGATTCACTTCACATGATCTAAAAACTTTGTAGCTAGAGTGTCTGGTATTTAATATCGTTTGATATATATTTTTCAAAATTGTTAACTAGTTATCGAATAAAGATAAA